TCCCTTCCCTTCCCTTCCCTTCCCTTCCCTTCCCTTCCCTTCCCTTCCCTTCCCTTCCCTCTAATTTGATTTAGCAGAGCTGGGAATGGGAAGTACCTCCTTGGATCACCCAGTGCAGCAAGTCTGCGTCAAGACTAAGCCTGTACCCATCCTAAACATATCAGAATAAAAGTGTTGTCAGAAGGTGTGCCTCATGGACATCTACCTTTTCCAGGACAGATGCCAATGCCTGATGTCCGCAGTAGCTGGCGGAGTTATGCTGCCTGGCCCAGTGTCAATTGCAGGATATCTCCCTTTGAGATTTCTGAGGGAAAATGTATTACAGTGTAGGTCAGACTGGTCTCTTGGCATTCCGAGCCTTAGCCTTACATTCAGACCATCCCTTTCGATGTAGGATGCTCCATTTTCTGGTAATGCAAGGAATGCCATAGAACTTACTTTGCACTGGTTTTTAGTAGAAGGTCAAAGTAAGGTCCCTCTTATGCCTGCTAGCTAAGGCACCATCATAGTTTTCTGATGTTTTTTGCCTAGAAAAAGCCCCTCAACCAAGCTGACAGTAGTTTGCATCAAGAAAAACTATTTGAGAGAGCACACTCATGTTTGCACGCTGACATCTCTGTCATCTGAAGGTCATATCCCAATGGCGCAGCACAGATATTACCCTCAGAGAAAATAAAGAAGGAGAAGAAAGCAACTTGCTTCATAGTGAATGTACCAGGGCTGCCTGTATTCTCCCACTTCACAGCTGTGAGGTTAAAAAAAAAAAAAGTTATCCCTCACGAGAGGTCTGGCCATTTCTGGGTCATAAATCTACTTCCAACAAATTAGTTTGGGCATTATTCTGAGTCATAACAAGATTCTTCCCAGAGCATCTCACTTTTAAATATACCTTTCTAGTGTCATAACCTTTACTAGGAGGTTAGTGGCAAAGAAGTCCCATGCAGCAACACGCAAAGATTAAATGATCACCATATGCCTGCTGACCATGGTATCTGCTAATCCCTGGAAACAATCAGTGTTTGAAAAGTGATACCTTGGCTAGAATTAGGTGCCTTTCTGGCACAAAGGTCTCACTTCATTGTTGTTACTTGTAGCTTGGTTTGGACACTTGCATATTGTAGAGATGTGCAGAATGGCCACGACTTTCTACGTATTTTCAACAAGAGTCATTTTCTGGTGCCATGAGGAGAGTACTGTTATCAGCGCCTTCCCCATTCTGCTGGCAGAATCACTGCACCTCCTGCTATCTCTCACTATTTACATTTGTAATCACTGCATCTTGTTTGCCTGAATTCCTTTCTCAGAGAGTATCCCTATGAAGACCTTGAGCTGCTACAATGACTACAACTCACAGACGACCTGCACGTGGATGGAGCATTCAGAGGCTCATGCCCTCGTTGGTATGATTCTTTATCAAAGGGATAATATTATAACGTAAGTACCTGAAATGTGCTGTGCTGGATAAAAGTCCAAAGGGAACTTGGCCGCAACTTGGAATCCTGGGGACCAGCAGTCAGGTTTTCAGAAAGCATGGCCACCTCTTTCTGTCATTGGATTAAAGTAAAAGTTGTGCCTGCTTCTGAGGCCTCTTCTAGGAAGGGAGGAATGAATAGGGTGTGCTAGTGGAGTTATTTTTATCACCTTTACGCTTATTTTCCCATAATTTTGTTGTGGGATCATAGATATGAAATAAGATGGGGCATACAGGTTGCTATTAATGGGGTGGAGAAGATGGCGTCAGAACAAATGTGAGCCTGAGTGTTGTTTATAAACCTAAAAGGAAGGAGACATTCCCACTGTTATTTTGCCCATTTAGGAGCATCACTGAGAGTATGGTTTTGATAACTTCTGAGAAACATGTATAGACTGTATGTTTGTGAGATAGAGAAGACTGGTAAGTTCATCTGTGCTATCACTTTTCCTCCCAGAGATACTGGTGCGTTTATGACAGTATCTCTCCGTTACATCTGTTTCCTTATGAAAAGAGAACTGAATCACCAGACTGGATCAATTGTGAGGATAAGAACGGACAGAGAGGGAGGAATAGTCAAGGGAGAGAGGAAGACAAAGGTGGAAAGCTGAGAAGAAAATGAATTAAGAGTCTGGGGATACAGGAAGGAAAGAGAAACCCTTGATTTCATTTTAAAGAAGAGAGAATTAGTAGACCTAAAAACAGCTGAAATCAGTGGAAGGTCTTTGGAGCAGGACCTTAAAGCTAATGCTTCTGGGAAAAGATGATATAAAATTACTTGGACCTTTGGAGGATTCTCTGGAACACTGTTACATGATGGAGCGTGTGGATCACACAGGAAACATGACTGAAGTGAACTAGTCAGAGAAGCAGGTATTAAGTGTGGACAGTCACACAGCTGAAATCAAAATGGCCAATATTAAACAAGGTCAGCTCATAGATGAAGAATAGTTGACTAAATCCCAAACTGTAAGGTAATGCTGGTGAGTAGATAGAAATACCTTCAGGACTTCACAACCTTTGGGCTGACTCTTTTGTTTAAGGGTACGCAACATGTATGGTCAGTCCCACCCATGCTTCAGGAATATCCGTGGTTTCCTTGCTAATACCCAACTTTCAAAAATATCAATAGTGCTGAATAATGCTTGCTGACATATAGTTGGCTAGGAGACTCCATCCTATCCTGGAAGACAGTATTTGGCCTTAGATATTCACAACTTAATATTTCTCATCTGAACTGGAACAATGTAATATACTGGGCATGAAGCCATAAGCACAAACAAAATTCCAGAGGGTACAAAAAGAAGCAACACATCTTTCTAGTAGCTCAGGCTACTGCAAGCACACAAAGCTTATCCTCTCCTGTCTAGTTTAAAATACTGTTTCTAATTTTCATGATACTCCTTGGCTTGGAGAAAGGCTATCTAAAAGGACGATTAACATTCTGGATGAAATCTTTAATGAATACATAAGGTCCCTTGACAGAACAGAACTACTAAGGATACAGAAATACATTTTGGTTGGAGAATTTTTTTTTTAAGTGTCTTTCTGGGACTGCAAAATGAATGTCTTCAAGAAGCTAAGGATCAACAGAAACTTTACTGCCTTTCACTCTGAGTAGAAGGTGCATTTCCATGACATTATTTTTCATCATACTGTTTCTCACATAAACAATATGAGATCACGTAGAGTTAGGCTAAAACCTAACAAAAATAGACTGGTACCAAAATATAACATTCTGCCGCACAACTTTGAAATGGGAAGGCATTTGACAAAAATCCTGGTGTTAAAAATGTTTGTCATATTAACTCATGCAAAACAGGACTAATAGGTACAGTGAGAAGAGGACATAAGTGCCAGAGTAAATTATGACAACAGAATGGGATGGAATTGGTTTCAGGCATTTAATTTTGCATTAACTGTAGGTCTCCAAATCAGATCTTTATAGATCACTTTCTCTATACACAGGGAGAACAAGGAGCTGCTTTGCAAACACCAGACAGAAAACGACTTACATGAGGCTCCAGACTCCTATGTGCACTGGGTTTGTCGCAACACTGAGAACAATTTTGGAATAGGGGTATATGATACTTACAGCTTCAAACCTAACAAGATGCTTCAAGCAGAACTAAATGTTGATCTTTTCCAAAATGGTAAGGATTAAATACCAAATACTCATTTTCCACTCAATATTAGGGATCTTTGAGAATGTATTTGCCGTTCAGTCAGGAAGAGAATTCCACTTACATTCTGAAAACTGCCAGAGTTCCACATTGAGAGTATGGGGCAGGGAGGGGCGAGGGCAAGTTTCTGGGAGCACCTGGACCTGGAAGGGGGACTCAAGCAGGAGCTAATTGGTGTGGCAGGGATGAGATACTCTGGAAATGGGGAAGCTTACCTAGGTGTTTTCTTCCCCTCTTCCTGTCCCTGTCCTCACTATCTCATCCCATGGGTTGTACCTTCACCTTCCAGTTCAGACCCTCCCACCTCAAAACCTCTCAGTCAGCTTGATGACATCAGGAGACTTCTTGCTGACCTGGAAAGCAGCTGATGGAAGCCAAGGGCTGGGCAATGCACTGGAGTATGAAGTCACTTACAAGCGGGAGTGGGAGTCCTGGGAGGTAAGAGCAGAGGAGCTGGGCTGCCCTGGTTTGGGCTGCACCTTTTTGGGCGGTTGACAGCCTGCGGTAAAAGCTGTGCAAATAAATGGCCTTTCCGTTCTCAGGCACTATGAGGAGATGCAACAAATGTTGTTGCAGGTCAGGCGGAAGGGGCTCTCTTTCTGTTTGCAAGTGACTTGCCCAGTGAAATACCATTTGTCCTGAATTGGATGCAAATGATTTTGCCCTGAATCCCTCCCAAAC